TCGGCCAGGGCCCCCATCGCCCCCCCGCCAGGCCGCCCCCCACCCCCCCGCACCCGCCCACACCCACACCCACACCCACACCCACACCCACACCCACACCCACACCCACACCCTCCTTAGCAACATCTACTCCCCCATCCACCGTCATAGAATGTATATCAATATCATCGTACGATGAACAAGTGTTACCTCAATATTTAGAGCTAGGATTTGGACGACAACTAGAAATTTGTCAGTTGGACACTTTCAGACTTCTATCTCTAGATCATTAAAATCGTGGAAATCGATAAAAAACAGCCATTTGTGTCAGCTTTAGCGCTCTAAAAAGCCAAAAATGTGGTTAGAGTAATCATTGTCAAAAATGTCTTATCTGTATTATTCATAAGCCAGCTTCTCCCAAAAAGAGGGAAAAAAAGCAATGATTGTTCATATGAAATTTTTGGACAAAAACTCTAATTAAATTTACTTCCTTTTTATAAAAAAAATCCAATGAATCCGATGTTTTATGGGAAAAGATCAGGTTTAGCCGTATTAAAATCGTGACATTTTCATCGGATTTTTTGACGAAAATTTTTACATGAATGAGAACAAGTTTTTTTTCATATACGTTAATTCATGCTTGACTGAAACCAGAAAATGTCAGTTTGTACAATCCTTATTATTGCAAACCCATCTAATAAGACTTGAACATTGTTGCAGAAAGATGCGTCTAGTGAATATACAGCGTTGTGCATAGCCTTTTGCTAAGGGATAGCGCCATGATTTCAAGTTGAATACCTAATGAATTTTATACCAAATTGAAGCGCGTCGAAAACGGGATTTATTAATACTAAATAGCAAGATTTATCAAAACCTTTTAATGTCGAACTTACGAAATTTTCAGAAATATTATGATTCTTTTGACAGAGAAAATTAAGGCGCTAGCAATTCAAGTATAGAGCAAAGTATTGTCTTTTGATATTTTTAAATGGTTCGATAGAGCTCGTCGAGCTCTACAAAACTGTCTATATTAAAAGTATTTTAAGCTATTTTTCTGAGATAAAAAATTTGCAAACTCACTTTTTTATATGAAAGAGAAACACTCGATTTTCTCAATAAAATTAGCGTTTTTCATTATTTTTACTAACAAAGACGCTTCAAAATACACTTGTTAGACACAGTTTTTCACGCTGCATTGAATGAGTATATTTTGAAGCATCTTTGTTAGTAAAAATAATGAAAAAAGCTAATTTTATTGAGAAAATCGAGTGTTTCTCTTTCATATAAAAAAGCGAGTTTTAAAGTTTTTTATCTCAGAAAAATGGCTTAAATTACTTTTAATATAGACAGTTTTGTAGAGCTCGACGAGCTCTATCGAACCATTTAAAAATATCAAAAGAAAATATTTTACTCTATATTTGAATTGCTTGCACCTTAATTTTCTATGCCAGAAAAACCGTAATATTATGAGATGCCTAATTCGAGTTCAAATATAAATGAGCCTCCGAAAGCATAAAGTCACTTTGAAAATAAATAAAATATATTTTATTACAATTATAATAATTATACCTGAGATAAAATTATTTTCTTTGATAAAACTAACATGGGTGCTGCTTTTTTTCAATTATATTCGAATTCGAATTAGGTACCTACTCCTTTTTCTTACATAGAATGAATTATTTTGATAATCTGATGCACTATAAGCATAGAAATATGCTAGTTGTTGAGGAGCGAAAGAAGAACTATCTAATGAATGATACAATAGAGTGTACAACGAAAAGAAAGCTAAAAAATCACCCAAACTTATGAAGTTGGATTTTTTGTGATGGTCTCTGCATTGAACTGAGTGGTGATATGCAACTTTTACTAACTGAAGATCACAATAATAATGAAATATTAGGCTAATTTTGTTCATTAAACTATCGCATATCGTGTCAAAGTGTAACCAAAATATATAAATATGAAATATAAGAGAATCAATCAATATGATGACTAATAGCAGATAATGAATGAAATACACGATTCGTTTTTGTCGAAACTCAGCTTTGATAAAAAATAAGACATGTTGTTTAATGAGTGTTTGTTTACCAGAATGGGTCTTGCTACAGACACAGATCGAAATCAGTGAATACCTAGCTAAGGTAAAAGGAAAGTATTCATCACAAAGAAAGATGAATTTCAACAGCAAGAAGGATGTGGGTGGGCGTGGGTCCAGATGAAGAAAACAATAACATCCACACTCACACCCGCACCCGCACCTGCATCTGCATCCATACCCACTCACCCAAGTATCGTTCAATCAGGAACTCAGATTTTGAATGGAGCAGGAAATTGATAATTTTCTTGATTGTGTTTTCCGACAAAGAAATTTACATTGAATTCTTAATAAGCTTCGTAGTACAACCATATACATTCCTACTATGTCCATTTTAGCATATTAAAAGTGTAGTCAAATATTAATTTGAATGTTAATCGATAATTTTCATTGATGAAGAAATTTAAGTTTAGACTTTTAAATTGACGCTCTGCTTGAGTGTAACTCATGTCGTCACCCAACACCACATCCAAAATGTATTGCTTAATATTCAACTCAATATTTTTGTTCTGAGGTCGATTATAAAATTTTGTCATCTGCATTGGTTTGTTGTGAAAAGCTACTACAATAAGATCTCTCTCAAAAATATCAGTATGGATTCGTCTTGCCATGCGTCAATCTCCATTCTACTATCATACGTTACTGTCGTTGATGTGTTATGCATACGCATTCTTTGGCAAGTTTGATGATTAAAAGATCTTCTACCATAATCACGACAGAATTGTAATATGAAGTACGATCAAATCGTTTGAAATGGAAAACAAGTTAAATGCTAATTTTGATAGGAACCGTCAAATGATCAAGAGAACAATAAACGTAGTAGATGTTTCCTATGATGTTCCATCTGTAAAAGAAACATGTGAATGTTCGTGTAAATAAAGAGAAAACTAAAACTCGCAGCTACCAATCATTTCACACCAATATCCACTGGTCAGCCGATTGACTTTACATTCAGACATTTGAGCATACTTGTTTCAGTTTTTCGTCTCTCTCTGCGTCAAAAACGTTTTATCGTTCAAAATGGTTTTTCTGATTGACTTGATAAGCAACTCATATATCTTCCTGATAAAAAATATAACGTATTCAGCTTTCTTCTTGATCAAATTAGTGTTAATATGAGACTCTTCAATCACATTTACATGACGTTTATTAATAATATGCACAACATCAACTTGAATTTAAAAACAAAACAACAGTGAGATAAAATAATAGTTTTTTTTTAATAATTGAAAACACGGATATTGTTAAAACTACTCGAACACTTACAAATACTTGGAACAAGAAACTAACTAATTTACATATAATTTTACATGCAGAGCTTCCTGCGTTATGCTTTCAAATATATCCTATGGAAAACCATCCATTCTGACATCGAAATAGTTTTAACTATAACTAACGGAGCTCTGCATACATTGATATAATCAAAACGAGGCTTGTTTTTCGTCTGATATTATTCTTGATTGTTTTTCATATTTTATAAAAATCGATGGATGAATGTTCTTGCTGGTTCATCCGGATTTTGACGCTGTTGATCCCTTCGAAAAATTCGCTGCCAAATATTCTTAACAGCTGCTTTGAATTCAGATCGAAACGTTTTAGATGTCGCATAGTATACGTAGAATGTCGATGATGGATTGATATATACGACAAAAATGCTTGAGAGAAAATTAATGAATGCTTCGATTGATTGTCGATCAGAACTTTTGTTTATCGACATTGTTACAGAAGAATAAAAGCTATAGAATGTAAAAGGTAATGAAGATAAAACATATACGACTACTTCTGCTACCAACATTCGTGTTAATTGAAAATCACGTGGACGCATGCCACTAAATGTTAATGTCGGCTGAACACGACGGTGAGCGAGACGTATGTTACGCAGTGTTGTCCAACTGAATGCGATCATTAATAAAGGTGGTGCGACTCCGATAACAATAAACACATAAATTCCAAAAATTATGTTGTATACACCTAACCTTATGCATTTACCATTGGCAATCGTATTCCAAATGAGTGCATGAACAGAAAACAATATCCAGCATATAATCGAGAAGAAAATAATTCTTAAAGCTACTCGTACTTTACCAATATTTCGTATTGACACATGACTCGATGAGATACAGGCACGATCAAAACAGGCAAGTACAATCAAAGTACGAGAAAGATTAATAACAATATGTCCAAAGTACGCACGTATTTTGCAATAAATTAATGAATTATTCGTGGGATCGAATCTCTCAATAGCAAAAATATTTGTTGATACGAGAAATGATAATACGATAATATTTGAAATAGAACCTGCTAATAAATAACATGAACAAGAATTCGATCGAAGTTGCTTTCGAAGAAATACAATACAGTTGCATAAATTGCCAATATTACCAAAGAAAATATAAATTATCATAATCCATCCCATGCATTGTTGTGTTGACGTGAATTGGAGTGATAGAAACGAGACCATGTTAACAGTATTCTATATTACACTAATGATTCCTATCTATCTATATATATATGCAAGAAAATAAAATACTTAGATATAAAAATTTGCTACTCTTACTATTTATCTAATGATTGACAATAAAGATGCCAATGCGCGTGCTATACATCGGATGTATCCGGAATTTAATGACGTCAGAGAATCATTAAGTTTGTAATATGTCCGAAAGAAGTCGTGAGGATTTCTCAGTTGAAAAGATGATTACGTTTGCAGAACAATAGAGTGCAGAAGAAGTAGAACGAACATATACAACATATCAAAGAAGGATGTATCATTCATTTTAATAGAGCTAAAATTCTTTTTTTTTTTTTCTAAAATAACAATTTTTAGATCGAGTTCCGGATTCATATGATGGTGGATTCAACGACTCAGTTCAAAATTGATGTGTCAACTATTATACTGTCAAATCCTTCAAAGAAAATTATTTAGACTAAGTTTAATTATATAAATGAGTAGATTTAGTGAGATGATCTGACTAAGTGTCAGTTTAATTGCTTATGGTGGGCTAATAAAATCTTTCAAAATCGCAGTAATTGAAATTGATTGAAAAAACCTAGTCTTTCCCAAAAACATTCGATGCATTCGGATCAGTGACAAACATACTTTTAACAGGAAATTTATATGATTGTTGTGCTTTTGTTTGTTCCGTTTTTGTGAATTTATTTTTAAATGTTTATTACTGTCTTGCATTCTTTCTTGGCTTTTTTCTTGTATAAATGAACAATAACCATTCGTTAACACAAGGAAAATATACTTCATTGATCATTATTTTGCATTTTTAGACAACTGTTGCAGTTAATGACACATTCTCTTTGTCTCAATTGAAGTCCTTACATCTCCACAATAGAATGATATCTTCTTGTATCAGAAAAAAAATTTCTGTTTTTTTTTTTTCAATGGAAGTTCAGTGTATCCTCCATATTTGCACTAATAAGAATATAATATGCTAGTTTTGAAAAGTAAGCTGCTGTCTATAAAAAAGAAAGACAGAAATCAATTGAAAAGAACGTACATTTTTGGACTAGATTTTTAGAACCTATCTTTTAACGAGTATTTGAACACTACCAATAACTTTATTTGTCGAAAATAATTTATTGAAACGAAAATTGTAGACAAAAGGCAAATAGAATTTCTTCGAAATGTTAATGTTTAATGTGAATAATATTTGAATGTAATGCACGTATAGAACTTTGACACTACTATTTCTCAGTTAACTAACTCTCTCACTTTTTATAGTAAGCGATAAACAAGAATTATATGTAACGTATTATGCAAAAGTAATGAGACAAATGTGGAATTCTGTTCCTCTTCGTTAAAAGAGTGTTGAAGGAAAATTATTTTTTCTTTTTAAAAAATGAAGCTTTGTCTTATTTTGTGAATCATATATAATTTATTTTTATAATAGGCTCAAAAATGAAATGAGGCAATAGAAAAAAGAGAAGCACGCTTAAAAAGAATCTATATTTTTCGTTAGGTTAAAAAAAATGACGCAAAAGATTAATTCTTATATCTCTCCAATAATGATATTTCGAAAAAAATATCTTCTTATCAGTTAATAGAAAATTGTCTCTTCTTTGCAATAGTATATGATTTATGCTGGTCACATATTTGTAAGTGAAATGAAATGGGAAAAAAAATGACAAAAACAATCGCGCATTAAATTTGTAATTTTTATATGACCTGGTCAAAAACATCTTATTAAACAAGAATTCATTCAATTTTTTTTGTGAACTTATTAAAACGAGCTTATAAAATAATGTTTACTTTGTCTTTTATGAAAATCTTTGACAATATCATGTAAAATGATAGTTAGTTGTACTCAACTATCATCTACAAGATATAGTTGGCAAAAGCATATTAATATACTTCTTGAGCGAATGTTTCTTGTTTGTTCTCATCTAATTTCACTTGCCATAAAGAAGAGACAATATCATACTATTCGATAGAAACAAAATATTCTTCTTAGAAGCTATTTATCAAAACTATATAAGGAGTATCTTTGTATCAATGATAAATAGACTCTGATATTTGTCCCGTTACTTTTACATCCTATGTTATATGTGCAAGTCATGTGATGATGTGAAAATTTCGAAGATAGATTAAAAATAATATTAAAACCATCGTGTTTTGTTTCTCATTTATACACGTTTATAATCATCTTTATCAAGCGATAGATTCGTCAACTTTTTAATTGTTTCTATTTTAAGTTTTTGACAGATCTCACATTGACAATAATATTGATGTTTGTCATTTTTCGTCGAAATATCGATACTTATTGATTATTGTAATTATAGAGTTGAGGTGCGCATAGGACGTATACATACTTCTATGATTTCAATGTGAGTCTAAAAGATTTTTTTTTCAAATTCAAAAATGAAATTATTGTTACAGTTTAACAACAGATTCAATATTTCTTCTGACTATTTCTCCAATTCATATAAGAGATTGCGTCATCGATCAACTAATATATTGTTGCACAGTTTGTTCGATTCAATGAACTACAAATTTTGTATATATTGATACTAAGCCACTATTTATAACGCTGAAACACATGGCAACGATCTATTTGTATTTCATCAAAGACAATAAAAAAAAATGACATAATGTTCGCTGTTCAAGGCTCGTAATGTAATATTTCTTTTGCTAACAATTTTTGATGTCTAGAACAACTGCTGATATACTAGTCAAATAATATCGCACAATTCCTAGATGTAATTCAGCGATATAGCATAGGATACTTTTTTCTTTTTTTAGAACAACTTTGTTTATTAAAGATTTTTCCAGATGCTGTCGACATACAGTGTAATATCGTGATTGCAACTGACACAATTTCTTTAAAGATAAGATTTTAAATTCGAATTCAGCAACTTTGAACTAATCTGATTGAAATTTCATCAACAGTTTTGCTTAATTAAGTAAAAGAATATAATCCCATTCGTTAAGAAGCTTCTCAAATATTTCATTCAAACCATTTACATTACTCATAAAAAATAGTTATATTTCTTTTTATTTATGCCGTGCAATTATCGACGTTGGTCGAACTTGAAACGTGATTTTTTTCTTACATAATTGAAAACATTACTCTCTTATTCTAAATAATTACCGCTTTTGTAACTGGTAGAACGTGTCATATGATAGTAAGAATATCATGTAACCATGGAGTTGTCATTTTTGTTGAGTATATGAATTTGAACATTGATCGTTACATATGTTTTGTTTTATATCAAAAAACTTTGTTAGAATCAGATGTCTACCATTTAATTATTTACTGTTTGATGTGTGCATGATAAGAGATAAAGCAATGCTTTTTTTTCCAGATCTCTCCAATTTAAATTACTCTTTCTGAAGAAGAAAAGAAGGTATTAGTTTTTTAAGCTGTCTTTTTTAGATTATGAGTGCGTGATTATTTGAATTTTCTGTTGACAGTGAGATATTTTGAAAATGGAAGGTTGTAAGGTATTTCGAGTTCTAGAAAAGCGCATGTTTTTGTCTTATGTCACGTTCTACATCATTATCAAGACCATATATAGGATAGACTTTTTTATATTGTTTTGATCTTCATCAAATGATAGATTTACTTGTGAAAAATTTCAGAAATGCCTCCCAGGGAATAAAAAAATCAAACTAATTTAATTTCAATGGTTATTTCGAAACTTTTCAACAAAAAAACTCCATGACTTCGGTTACTTCATAAAAATCAAAATTATCGCAATACTTGCATTATTTTTACACCATTTTCATCTCATGATCTTGATGTTTTCACAAAATTGTCATAATAGCAGTAATTTCATTATTTTTGCATCATTGTCATTTCATGAATTTATGTATTGTTGAAAAATGAAAATATCTTACATTCCTTCATTTTTTTTAAATCATTTTCAACCAGCTACTTTAATTATTTTTAATCAATATAAAGCATCAGATAGGTTTCATTACTTATGGGCGCAGACCTTTGTATTTCTCACGATTCACAAACTAATGGAAGCTATTTGTCTACTTTTAATGAAAAATGCTTATCATGCGTGAAATTCTTGTAAAATACATCATTTAAATGGTTAATTCAAATTATTTATAGATGCTGTCCGTACATATATCTTCTTGAAAAATAACATAACATAATGTCTATAAGGGACAGAAAGGATATCGTGCACTGCTGATTTCACCTAAAATTCATAAAATTTTCTACAAAAAAACGCTTAACATTCTATATGATTTTGATGAAGCAAAGACTTTCGAAGTTCATCGCATATCCTCTCGAAGGGCACTCAGCCTGAGCTTTTCACAAAGCTAAGATGCAACCTGCAGTTTGCTCTGTAGAAAGCGCGTTTGGTCAGGTAGGTGTTTCATAGTTTAAGTGCTATCAGTTGTTTTAATATTAATAGTTTTATGGGCAGGATTTTGGTGTAAATTTCATGGTTTAAATTGCATGATTTTAGTGGATATTTAATCATTTTCATGGCATAAGTTTCCTGTCAAAATCATGCATGAAAATGTCCGTTTCAAAATGAAAAATGGCATGACAATTGATGATGCTGTGAGTAAGAAAAGCGACAAGCACAACAAGATGATATTGCAAGAGAAATGTCACAAATTAGGAACGAGGAATTAGCGAACAGCGTCGTTCTTCGAATCATTTAGCGTTACTTGATAGAGACATGAATAAAAAAAGTGAAGTTCGTCAGTTATTCACTGAACTTCTTCATTTTCAATACAGGCTCGTTGAAATTCTGCTTCAGATATTTGTGTCTTGCCACCAAAAATCAGCTATATAATATTATCATCGAGCTTCTCTTTACTATATAATGAGTATTCTTCATCAAAATTATCATCGGAGCTGCTCATAAGCCGAAAAATTATCGAGAAAAAAATAACGAGCTTCGTCTTATGTAAGAAAATTATTGCTATTTGCATCACATGTGATAAAGAGTGTCTGAAGGACTGGTTTCAGATCATCCCAACACAGT